AAGCAGCAGTACTGGAAAGAACTCAAACTCACCAGTTGACAAGGACTGAACTCCAAACTCCAAAACATGAACTCCAAAACGTGGCACGGCGAACATGAACTGACCAATGAACAGAACACAGACGAACAGACAGACTGGAAGAGAGAGAGAGAAACCTCAGGTGAGACAGGTGAGTGTGATCACAATGATTAACCCACACAGACAGCCCTCACATCTTTGCCTCAATATTTAAAAAATATTCCTGTCCACATTTGTTGTTAAAACATCACCAGCATGTTATTATTATCATTATCATTATTGTTGGAATAAAGATTCCAAAAAACCTTTCATAGCATGTTAGATTAACCAATCCCAGCGTACAATACGCAGACATCACCGATGATGCTGTTGACCCCATGACCGCCGTACCATGGTAGAGAGAATCTAAGTAGAAAAACAACTCGCTTTAGCTGAAGTCAGGGTTGAAAAGTGAGTTGTTTTTTTCACTACTTTAATTTACCCTTTGACTTTGATGCTTCAGAGACATCTGTACAGAGGTGACAGCCCCTGTCAGTGCTCATACGATAACAGTTCATGTTCCATTAGTGTTGGCAGGTAGAACAGGCTTCTTCTCTCATTGCCCCTAGTTCCCATCCTCCTTTGCTTCCCCTCACTTGTCGTTCACTTCGTGCCCGGCCTCCTACATGTGACCTCACAGCAGGGAAGGTCGCCAGCAGCAGGTGAAAGATCGCGACCCCACGCACAAAGACTTGCTGCCCTTATCCTGCAGGCAGAGAAAGAGCTCAGCCGCGGCCTGAGGCGGAGATTAAGAACACAGGAGGACATCGCACATCTCTCATCGCCAACAATTCAGCGGGGGTCGGGGGGAGGGCTTCAACACAGTAACAGAGGCCGCCCTGATCAGAACAATCATTCTGGAGGAGATCCTTCATTAAACCACCACAGTCAAACCCATAGAGTCAGTTTGTGGGTTCTGGCTCGTATTTTAAAAAATAAATCAGGACTTTTCACAATATTTTTTAAAAGCACCGTGACCTCTTTCGTCGTCACAGAAACTCCATACATACTGGCTGCTCCGAGTTTATGGAACCACAGCGGGGTCTCTTCCTCCTGCTGGGTGTTTGAACTCTGCATGTGAGATGGAAATGCTTTAGGCACAGCAGAGATAAAAGTACTGGGTTACACCAAACCCCAGGATGTATATCATTAACAAACACAACTTTGTACACACATGCAGACAGTCTTTTTGTTTTTTTCCTCCATCACTGACTATCATTATCAAATGTAGAGCTGTTGCTCAGACACCACCTGCATCGGGGTATAAATAGAGCAGGTTGTGGAATGATTTAATGTCATCTTCAAGAGGAGGGAAACGTGATACGGTGTGGGACCACAGACTTCCTGTGGAGCCTTCCGCCTGACAGTCCTCCAGTAAAAACATCAATCAGGGCTCGGAGGGAAGGCTATATTTGACAGCTGCAGCTCATCATAAGTTTGACCAGCTGTCACGACTGCAGGTATGTTTGTGTTCGACCGGAGTAGAGGAGTGGAATAATCCCGAGGGTGAAAACTTCCACGGTAATTCATCCAAGACTTGTCACGATGTTTGATCAAAGCCAGGACATTAGAGCTCGGTGTTGATGTGACACAAAAACGATGAACATCAAAGTTACAAAAGGAGTCAAACCAGTGACGGTACGACGCCATTACAGGTGCAAGACAGTAAATCACCCAAGACCAAACCAGTGACAGGACATTAGAAAAGAGGGGTTGGTCTGGGGCACCACATTAAGGCCAGAGGTGCTAAGGTCGTCCCATCTCAGGTTTCCTTCTCACGAGATTTAAAAGTGAGGAGAACACCTGCCGTTTCTATTTAACCGTGAGAACGGAAACATGTCAGTGGGCTAACCGTTGAATTTCAGAGAAATCTATGTCACGATTCATGTCCTTCCTAAAGATGATGATTTGCACAAATACTAAGAAGTAAATATTTAGGCTAAACTGATTTACAGCAGGGTTATAAAACCTCTAAAGTTTTGCCTTTGTGTTCATTTTTATTATACTTGTATAAATACAAACTGTTCTATGTATGGTACCTTAGTAAGCTGTACAGTCCAGAGTTAAGTTATAGGACTCAAAGCTTCTAGAAAACAGCTCATGTTTGATCCTACAGTTCGACACAACTCAGTGAATGCCTCTGTGCCTGCACAAGATCAAAATACTGACACTGAAACACAAGCTCATCTATCATTTTTCAGTGCAGCATAGATTTTTAGTGCTTCTGATTTAAGTGTTCAACAGCATGTGTGGGCAGAGCCCTTATCTAAGAGGTTGTTCTCAGATTGTTGTTTATCATCATGAAAATGTGACCCTGTCAAGTTCTGTCTCCGTCTTCCATCTGCCGCTGTTACATAAAAGTCTGAGGTTTGTCCTCCAAGCGTCCAGAAGAAAGAAGAAAAATAAAAACGTCAATCTTTACCTGCACGGTCTTCTTGCGCAGTGATGCTCCAGTTATGTAAGATTGATTTCAAAGCGGTCAGTGTTGAAATCCATCATTCATTTTTTTTTTCAACTCCACAGACGTACAGACAATTTCACCTCCAGTGGCAGCTACTGATTGATGTCCGTAATCTCACGTGGTTAAAGGCTAAAGAACAGAACAGATATAATCTCACGTGGTTAAAGGCTAAAGAAGAAGAGAACAGATGGAGTGGAAATGATTTCAGTTTCTGATCAACCTTCAATTCTAGTCATTAAATCTGACCCTACAGATATTGAAGCATTTATCCCAGTTAGCCAGTGTTCCATTATGGTGTTGCTGAGGTTTCTCTTGGTCCAGTCAGTCCAAGGTTTTGGGGGTTAAAACAATAAAACATTTTCCAAAATCAAGCCTGGGGACCAGTTATGGCACTCGCCCTGTGTTATGTGACCCCTGACCTCTTTGTAAATAAATGTCCTCAGACTTAAGGCAGTACAGTCATTTTTCATACATTAAAGAGAGTCATGTTGTAGAACAAACATTTCTGTAAAGTTCATATGCTGAGGAACAGATTATATTTATATAAACCCACGTAAAAACACATTTATAATAAATCAGTTTATCGTTGTAGCTGTGAATCACACACCTGTGTTTGTGAGTGCGTGTGTGTAAAGTAGTTTCTCTTTTCATAATGTCATCCGAAAAATATTTCCCCTGTGGAGATTATGTTGCTTTAAATGTCATACAATGCCACCAAAACAACACCTCTTGGTTTGTGCTGACATTTACATGTAACTGATTCCTAAGAACAAGGTTAAATAGAAAAAATGTTTTCAATCTTTTAGGAACCCACACTGTTGCCCCGTCTTTGTTTCAGTTAGTAATGTTAGTTACATGAGTGGTTGTAATCTTACTCTGCAGAAATGCTGACGTTTGTCACACTTTGCAGCTTGTTTTTCACTCACAGAACATTTAGGCCAGGGGTCTCAGACTCGCGGCCCGCAGTACAATATTTTGTGGCCCCTCACCTTAAAATGAAGGTATAATATCAGTGTGGCCCGCGGAGAAAGTGGGCTTCCGAAGAGCCAATCAGCAAGCTCC